ATGGACAAGTACCCTTGTCTTCTGGAAGAATAATAGTGTTGTTGTCATTCCTAAGTAATATGAGTGCCTTCATTTCCTCCATGCTGATGTTGGATGCTGGGGGCTGTGCATTGACGAGTCAGGCCGAAACTTTTATTTGCAGTTGCTCTGCTTCAATGTCTGCAAGGTTGTTCTTTCACATTTCTGTTTCTGTGGCTGTGATCAGTTCCAAAAGCGGGACTTGTCTTGGTGTCATAGCAAAGTTCAACCTTTTTGAGTCTGACAGAAAACTCACTGTTTGGGTGAGTTGTCTGTCAGACAAATTGTTCACCCACTTGTTCACATCCTCCGTGTGGCATCCTTTTTCTTCTGGCTGCTGAGGACACTCTCCATACTTTTCTGTGGTTTCTGATGAAAAGTAAGAAAGTCAAACTTCTTTCGTTGCCTGGTCTTTTCATGCTCTGACTCTCTTCTACACCCATCCCCTTCAAATAGTCGTGGCAGATCACCGACCCTTCCTGAGCATGGTTCTGCCGTAGATGTCTTCCTGTTAAAAGAGAGTTTTTCATCCCCATTTGTTGCCAGAGTGCTTGTTCATAGGTCATCTAATGTCAGGGTTTTTAACTTACAATATAAATCACCTTGAGATGATTCTTGCTGTGATTAAATAAATTGAAGTGACTGAACCCTATCCCAGCTCGTCCTAAGACAGCTGGGATAGGCTCCAGCCCACCCATGACCCTGAATTGGATCAGCGGAAGAGAACGGATGGATGGATGAAGTGAACTAAATTGAGTCAATAGCTATATTTAAAGAAAAACCTTCACAGCAAACAAACTGCAGCATCAGCATGCATCCACTGTTTGATGCCCAAAATATCATCCAGGAGGCCCGCCCTCCCCCACTTCCACACACACCCATGTGTTCCATCTAAAATGCAAACAAAACCTAGAGCCATGTCTATTATTTGCATTTTGTTTGAAGGTGTCCAATGACATTCAAGGCTAAACTATTACTGCACCCACCAGTGACCTTCATGAGGAACAGCAGAAGCTCCACAGCAGTTTTCACAACTGTGAAGGTCAGCAGTAAATACTGGACATATTTGTGGACCTTTACAATGAGTTTGTACAAGACTTCATGCTACCTTGGGGATTAAATGTAGGTTTGATTGATTGTTATTTTGAAATTCAAACTCTTACTCATTGAATATATACTGAAAAAGTACATGCATAATTACCAAGTGTATTGGTGCTGTGCCAGAGAATCGAGTTGGCATTTCACCTCTCTCCAGCACATCAAAATGACTGATGATGTGTGTCAGGCTAGAATAATCATTAAATTAAATATGTACTGAGTTAGAGAGCATCTAAAAGGTGTCTGTTTGGCTCAAGTGCTTCACAGCCATGAATGTCTCTGGGTCAAAGCCAGCCTTCACTCTTTGGTGTCCTTCAATTTTTCCTCTTTTCAACTCAGCCTCATTTTCATATTTAGCCAGAACAGACCTGAGGAAAAATATATTACACAGTACTTCCCCAGGAAACCCAAGGATGACAACATATCCTCTACCAGATTTTATTTGGAATAGTTTGTACTTTCTCAGGTTACCATGAACCTTTAGTGGAGTTGTGTACTTGTAACATTGACCTCTTATTGAGAGAAGGAACATATTCATTCTATTTTTAATGCAGTTTTGGGCTTATAAAAACAAATTTCAATCATTTCTAAAAGATGAATGTTTGCGTGCTTGTAACATTCTCAAAGTATTTTTTGGTTACTGGACTCGATACACACAAAAACACTTGAAATACTTGTGTATTAAATTTCCACGAATATTCGAGATGCTTGTATTTTCTCTGTGGAGATTTTATTTGTTACTGTAGTAGACTGAGTCGGAGTGCCTGAGTGACCTACTGTAAACTCCCCAGATTGTTGTGAAAAAACAAAACAAAAAAACAAAAATGTAGTGATGTACTGACTATCTGTGCATAAAGTGCATACTTCAGATATGGCTGTGAAGGCCCAGGGCCCCTCTTTGTTGCTTTTAATTATACAAAACCTCGTTGTATAAACTGATTTGCATAAAAGGAACATCAAAAAACGAGACAAAAATGATGCAGTGATGTGTAACATTAGAGAACAGAAAAGCTATTGAAGTGACCCTATTAATAAAACTGCTGCTTAAGCTTTGATGCAGGGACAATTTTGAAGAACCTTAAGTTAAAAAAAATGTGCTTTGCTCATTGTAACTTTAATTGGCTGTTAGACCTCCATGATGCAGAATGATAGACATGCAGGATTCGACACTAGAAGGCTGTTAGAAGAACGAATTCACCTTAAATCTGAGTTTTGGATCAGTAGCTTTGGGCGTAATTTTGTGATGTTCACATGTATGCAGCCTGATATAGAATCATGCTAATAATGATTTTTTTTTTTTATAAAGTGGGGTATATTTGATGTCCAGCGTAAAGCAAAGACATTTGAATACATTTTGTTTTTAAAAGAAGAAAGAGTTAGACGATTTTTTAAAAAATCGTTACAAACACACTAAAATTGACCACAAAGTGATCAAAACTGCAAATTTAAAAAAATAGTTTTGTTCGGGTGTCTCAGAGTGAGCTCAAAACTGCCTCATGGTCTCCTTATGAATTATCCTTTCCTTTCCTGCTTCTGTTCAAATAAACGTGACAGTTGTGTTGCTTTTACGGGGAAAGCTTCCTAAAGAGTTAAACATCAAGAGCGCTCACTGCGCCGTGGTGGTGGCACTAAACCAGTCCTGGGGCTCCCAGAAGGAACTCTTAAGATTCTTTCATCTCAGTGAGGGAGGCAGTGCGTTGGACTCGGACCTGCGACAGTATCGTAAAAAGAAAGAAAGAAAGAAAGAAGAAAAAAAAAGGAGCCCTTCCTCCTCACGGCTCCATTCTTTTGCCTCCATCACTTGGCGGAGTACAAGCGGCGTGTGAGCATCCTCTTCCTCCCTCCGCTGGGCACCGGCCTGCCTCTGTACACTGTGACAGCGAGGCTACTCGGTGCGGCGCAGCGCACCGGAGCGCAGCTGGAGGAGAGCAGAGGGGAGAAGCGAACAGGAGAGCAGAAGAGGGGGAGGAGGTGGAGGACGGACGGACTGCTACCCCCAGAAAGGCGGGATTATACCCCACAGCATCCCGTCCCTTCAACATGCCTCGAGGGAATAAAAGACTTGCTGGGATTATCGCGCTGATCGCCTCGTTGCTGCTCGGCTCTTGTGGGACAGGTGCAGGTGAGCGGCTCCGCGCGCCTCTGGCACTGTTTAGGAGAGATGTAGAGTGGGGTGTTTTCTTGAAAGTCATCCCTGTGGTTTACTATTCCACCTGGACTCACTCAGCTGTAATGAATGAGAATAATACGTTTGGACGGTTGTAAACACGCCCGCTAATTAACCTGCCAGCTGGCAAAAAAGAAAGAAAAAGTCTTCTTCGTCTTTGTTCTCATATATTCTGCAGATTGTTAATTCACAAAAAAACCCTGAAAAGGCTATTATAAATAACTATAATAACTCATAAAACACATTACAGTTTGTTTATTTGGATTTAATTTCTTGATTATTTTTTTTGAGTCATTATGGTACAAATGATTTTAAAAGGAAGAAATATTTCGTGTCTGCCCTGCGAAAGCTTTAACTGATCTGACCTGTTTTTCCTGGTTTGGCAAGGAGAAGCTCAGCGCAGTAAATTTAGTGAATTAAACAGTTGGCTGGATCTAATCCGACCACCACAAGGGCTTGTTGTTGAAAGGGAGCGCATATCCTCTGGGGATTTATGGCTGTCAAGTTTTAAGAGATAGTGAATTCCAGTTGCCTTCTTATTTTATCATTTTTCAGCATTTGATGTTTTCTCATGAGAAGGAGAGTGGGAGAGACTGTGGGCTCGTCCTGGAGAGGCAGGGAAGCTGTGTAGGATCCTGGAGCTTCTTTAAGGTTCAGAAAAAGATCCTTAAAAAGTGATTTCATGGTGTGAGGAGATTTCTTTAAAAGAAACCACTGAACATGTCTGTATAACAGATATAGAATTTTTGTCTGCAACAAGTGTGCTACATCTCCTATTCACTGCTGCTGTTCAGTCCATGAGTGCATATGAGCTGTTAGTTTTTGATGGGAGGAATTTAGTGAATGGTTTCAGGACCTCCACAGTTGAAGTGGTTCAGTAAGATGTCATGGCCCCCTGCTTCCCACTGTAATTACTGTAGTCTACTTCCATGATATTGTAAATAAGGGCAATCTTGTATGTGACATCTCAGATTAAAAAACAAAACAAAAGGATCAGATGGTTTTGTGCACACAACTGGCCAGAAAAAACAAAAACAAAAAACAATCAGGAGGACGACTGTAAAGATGGGCATCCACAGGCACAGCACTTTCTCAGCTGCATTGATTGTTTGGATAGATAGTGGACGTATTTATATTACTGCTTGAAAATGACCTAAATTTGGATGAAAAGACAGTGTTGGTGCAGACCCACTTTGCTCAGGTTCATGAAGCCTAACAATCGCAAAGCCAGCAATTTCACTTTACTTCATATAGTTGATCTACAGAGTAATGTGTATTAGTGGGAGCCTTTATCATCCGTCTAACAATCTGTCGTCTGTCCATATTATGCTTCCTAAGCAATGAGCAGGTGTCAGCTCAGTAAAGAACTGCCATCTCATTCATCATGTTTCCTACAAGGAGGATGGGATGCTTCTGTCCATTCTGTAATAGTCTCTATCTGTCAATATACCCACTTTGTCACACAAGCACGCACACACTGAGCCAATTTCTCTAACGTTTCCAAAATGACAATATAACATACCCACCTGACAAACTAAATGAACAGCTGTGTGATGGTGAGGAAGTGAACTGCTGAACTCGTCACTTTCCAGAACAGCTATGAGTCAGTTCATTTCCCAATGTGGACAGACAACATGTTACACAAACTAATTCTTTCTTTGGCGACCCAGTCCTTACCCTAACTAACTCCCATAGCTCAAACAAAGACTTCAGCCTTGGACACAACAAGATGTTTCAGGCTATGTGTACTTAAAGTCAAGGTATCTGTGATGACACGGAAGGTGCTGAGGTAGAAGGTTTTAGATGCTGTTTAATGACCAAACAATGAGTTTGATTGAAATCGTCTTTGCTATTTGTGTGTAGCATCAATTTAGGCAGAACAGGTGATCTTAGTGCCAGCACACATAAGCCGGTGGCTGAGCTGCTATTCATCTTTAAATCCAATTAGCATAAGTCATATCAGGCATGGTATTTATGCTGCTTTAGCCTGCATACAGCTTCTGCACATCTGCAAGCTGCTTTGCAACCCACCTCCACCACAGCTGCTTCATTCCGCGGTGCTTCTGACCTCATCAGCGTCATTATCTGATGGCTGCTCTGTTGTCTTTGAGCTCGCTTTGCGTGTATGCACAGAGAAGGACAGAGAGGTCCCAGAAAGAGCAAATGTGAACAAATGTAAATTGCTGAAGATGAAAATAAAAATCTTTTGACTGCTGTAGTCCTGACTGAAATACATTTTTCATCCACTCACTCACGATCACAAGCCTAACCTGAAAGATGGTGATACCTAAAGCGAAATTACAGTACAATACAGAGTCACTTTAAGGTGAGAATAATGCAGACAAATCCAATGATTTTTCATACCTAAGTTGGAAAGTAGGCCAAGAAAAGTGTTTTGTGTCGTGATTGTCAACAGCCACAGTGGAAATTAAAAGTTTTACTTTCTCGCCCAGCACTCATCCTCTGCTTATCAATTCATGAAGAGGAGAATTTATTTTTAAGGCTCTCTTACCATTAAACGTACATTTCTAATTGGGGGTTTAATGACCATTTAAGAACATTATGCAACTGCTGCTGCTGCTAGTAACAAAACAGAGGTCACCTGCTGGATAAATATGTCATTTTAAACATTTGAGTAAATGACCAAGGCTATTATTTTTTCCCCAGCGAAGACTCTTCACCCCTTAGATCATTAGCATCATCAGCAGCACCATTATCATCTGTGAGAAACAATCTGGATCTCCTTCCTCCCACACACACCCTCACTGTTTGCTTTGTTTCATTTCACAATACAGGTAGACACATTTCTTTTTGCATTTTTCTCAAACTTGAAAGAAAACACAAATTTTCTTTATCTTCTTTTTGATTATTGCACCGACAGGGGCACCAAGGTAGCACAGGATGCATTTCATCTCTCAGATGACTGAGGGTAGATGTTTGATTATTTAAATAGCCGAGGCTGGGACGACGACGACTTTAAGGTGTTGTTATTTTCTAAGAGTGCTGGAAATTCATCTCCACCAGTCACAGCCAGACAGAGAATAAAAAAATGTGCTGGGGGAGAAGTTGATTTAAATTTGTGGCTGGCTCCCCGCTTCATATGGGAACAGCCCTGTCTCATCAGAATTTATTACTTTTCAATGAGCTGGTGGTTTGCACAGAGTGATCTAAAACCACGGAATAAAATCAATTTGATGCGAATGTGTCTCTGCAAACCATCCCTGTCCTTTATGCTTCATGAGGTTTAGAGAGCCAGTATGTGGCAAAAGAGCAAAGTAGTTAAGTATAAATTGCCCTTATTTTTATGTCATGTATTTAGCAGATGTGGAGTCATGAAGAGGTTCTGATTAAACCAAGGTTGCACAAAGGTGGCAGTACCTGGTGGTGTGAGCCTGGAGCTGTCAGTCATGAATCTAGATTTATTAATCCAGGGACAAGTAGTTAAGCCATAAAAGTGACAGAGAACTGCAGTCCATCCATCTGCCTTTGTAACCTCTGGGATTTTGTATTTGCCCAAGGCCAGCTCCCCAGCGGACGTCTGCCTGCCTAAAAACAGACCCATTCATCAAATGGGCCTGTCATTATATCAGATGACTTGTTATCGGTTCAAGAATTGGCCACATTCTGCTGAGGTCACTACTCACTGTCACTCTCTGGAGCAGCAGGAAAGCAGAAACTGTAGTCATCAGCTATTAGCAAAACCACACTGTGATTACCATCACTCTCTACAAGAAAATCTGCAGAAAAAGCTGCTAAATGGAAGATGTGATGAGATTCTTAACTGCTGTTTCAAATGAGTGTAGTCTGAACCTTTTGATCAAACATATTTTTGAAATTAAACAATAATAAATAATTAATTAAACATCCTTTTTTTTTTTTACTCCAGTTTTTTTTCCCTTACAGTCCTTCTTTTATATTGCAGCACTGACCAGGAAGTTTCAACCATGGTTGCTGGAAATAAACCTACCAAAAACTTATGTTTTCTGCTTTGTTGCTAAACAAAGATTTCAAACCTACATTACATTTTAGCCACCTGGGGGCAGTGCAACCCTCATAGACTGTATATAAAAGATGGCTTTACCATCAAAGTCTGAAAACTGAAGCCACTGCAAAAGCACCTTAAAGCTGCACTCTGTCCAGCATATTATACTAATAATAACGACACTGATGATAATTTGTTATATTAAAAACAAAATAAACTAAGTAAAAAATAGCAATACAAATAGTAATACATAGAAATAATATCAATAATATATTACACAATATGTTATTGTACAATATATTATTGATATTATATATCTGGTAGATAATTCTCTGTGTTTTATTGTATCATAGAAAGTCACAGCGTGTGCTATAAAGATTCCCTGTATCTGTCCTTGGAGTGGAGTTAATCAGTCTGTTACAGATGCTTCTCTGCTGCCCACCCACTAAGTGTTGTGCAGGGTGGTCAGGATAATCCATGATAACAGTTTTCTGACTCTGGGAGAACAGCCCTAATATTGCTTGTCTATCAGCTCAGAAGGACCATAATAAAGATCAAGTTGGTTGCAACCAAGCCCATAAACTCATCAGGTGTTTTGTTAGTGACAAGAAAGGCCCCAAAGTATTCTTGCCTTGCTGTTGACAAGTCGCTACTATATTAGCACGCCGTGTACCTTGATTTGTCAGTCAGATCCACCACTCTGCTACATCCCTCACTTACATACAATAAACTATGAAAGTTACTGTTATTGTGTTCTTGTCTGTTTTACACATGAACTTCATGTAATGTGAGTAGTTTTAATGACATAAAGACTTTCCCTGTGTCGCCTCACCAGCTGAGCCACCCATTAACACTGACACGGAAGTATGATTAGGTTCCTTCAGTTATCAGGTAGCTCAAGAGGCACAGAAACTGTGCAAAAATATTGGGATGTGCTCTGCTGTTCTCGGGTAATATAAATCAAAGGTAAACA